CTTCGAGACTGACTGAGGTTATGTTTATTTAAGTGCGGTGAGTTTGGAGCTTCTTTCTAAGTATTTCTCTTGGTGTAATTACAGGATCAGAGTCGGAGTGCATCGGTCACTTCAAGCTGCTCTTCTCTTTGTTGCGGGTTCATGGAGCTGGTAGAGTGCAACAACTGGTTTTGGAGGTAGAGATCAACAGTTCTTGGGTCCTTACATGTACTTACTGTGAATCCCAGAATCCCTGGATTGTTATCATATTGGTGTCTTCTGCAGGTTGTGAATACAGTGACATCAAATCAAGAGTGTGTGAGCAACATCGCTGAATCTCTAGTGTTGTCCAACCTTCTGGTGCTGCTGCACTCACTTCCTTCCAGTAAGAAGACACAACTAACTGTCATACTCTTTGTCTTTCCTCTTCTCCCCATCCCTGTAATGCATCTTCACACACTGAAATACTCCTTTGTGTCCTTCAGGCAGGCAAATGGTGCTGGAAACCCTCTATGCACTCACGTCTAACACAAAGATCGTCAAAGAGGCAATGGCCAAAGGTCAGTGTTCTACTGTTTGTTTGTTTTTGTTGTTGTTTGTTTTTTAGTGATTGCTGGCTACATTTATCTGAATTTTGAATCACAGATGTTTCTGTTAATCTTTATGTCCTGCAGGTGCTCTGATCTATTTGCTGGACCTCTTCTGTAATTGCACACACCCCCAGGTTCGCACACAGACTGCAGAGCTCTTCTCAAAGATGACTTCAGACAAGCTGGTTGGGCCAAAGGTCAGATTGGAGTTAAAAAAAAATAAATAAAAGACTTAATCACTCTCCTCTCTCTTTTACCTTATGATGCGTCGCAACATATCGTCAACTCACTTTTGCTGTTTCATATTCTGCTTTCTCTTTTAGGTGCGTCTGACACTGATGCGCTTCCTCCCTGGTGTATTCATGGATGCCATGCGGGACAATGCTGAGGCAGCAGTTCACATATTTGAGGGAACACACGAAAACCCTGAGCTCATCTGGAATGACAGCTCAAGGGAGAAAGTGTCTACTACTGTCCGGGAGATGATGCTTGAGTATGTGACAAACACTGTTTTAACCAGATAAAGAATAGTTAGACACTCTAATAGGATGTTATATGTCTTGTACTTAAATCGCTTTAAATCTTTTCCAGGCACTTTAAACAGCAGAAAGATAATCCTGATGTGAACTGGAAAGTAAGTATGAGAAGTCAATATTTTAAGTTGGTGTATCTGTAGGAACTATGAATGTGAAACTAAACTCCTAATCTGTGTGCTCAGTTGCCAGAAGACTTCACAGTGGCTTATGGAGCCGGACAGAGCGAGCTTGAAGTCGGTGGAGTCTTCTTGCGCATCTTTATTGCTCAGCCTGGGTGGGTGCTACGCAAGCCTCGGGAGTTCCTGGTGTCACTTCTGGAAACCCTGACTGAGCTCCTGGAGAAGAACAATCCCAATGTGAGCTTCCTAACTGAGAAACAACAGTACAAATTTCTAGTGAATGCAGAAGTTAGACTTTTTCTGTCTTATTCTGTTATCTTCTGCAGGGTGAGGCCCTGGAGACGGTTACCACGGCGGCAGTTTGTCTCTTCAGCACACAGTGCCAGCTGGCCGACCAGGTCCCTCCTCTGGGCCACCTGCCTCGGATCTTGGCGGCACTCAACCACAAGAACAATGCCGTGCCCAAGAGCTCCATCCGCCTCATCCATGTACTTTCAGATAATGAGGTAAGAAACTAATTTTGATGCAAGACTACAAAAAATCAGAACCATCTTAAGCCAGTTTAAATTTTTATGTAAACGTGACACCTCACCCACATCAACTAAGATATGCTTTGTTTCGTGTAGCTGTGTGTACGGTCCATGGCTTCTCTGGAGACTATTGGCCCTCTGATGACAGGGATGAAGGTTCGGGCGGACATGGCTGGATTGGCTTGTGAAGCTCTCAACCGCATGTTCCAGAAGGAGCAGACAGACCTAGTTGCCCAGGTGCACTGTCACCCTTGCTGTTATTATCCCTCACTATGTTTCATGTGTCCTTAATGGAACTTTCTATAACAACTTAACAGGCTCTGAGGGTGGAGCTGGTTCCATACCTCTTGAAATTACTGGAAGGAATCGGCCTGGAGACATTAGAAAACCCTTCAGCTACTAAGGCCCAGATAGTTAAAGCTCTGAAGTCCATGACTCGTAGTCTACAGTATGGAGAGCAGGTATGATCGAATTATTATGATTGGTATGATTGTTTATTTAACAGTCAAATATTTGAACTCTTGCTTGTTTTTTTTTTCCATAGGTGAATGAAATTCTTGCAAAGTCTTCAGTATGGAGTGCCTTCAAAGACCAGAAACACGATCTTTTCATCTCAGAGTCTCAGACTGCAGGTTACCTGACAGGTAAAGTTTTCCTTTTTACATATTAGAAGAGTGATTAACCTGAATAACAAGCTAAACTGTTAAAATATAAAGTGCTTCAAAAGGTAAGTCTTCTGCTTTGCTTTACCCTAAAAAGGCAAAACACCTTATGGCTGACTCCTCACTTGTGCTTAAACCCAGCTGTCCTATAACTTCCTGGCTCTGCCCTTCCCTTCCTCTTTTTTCCTCCACATTTCCTCCTCAGGGGTTTCCACTCCTTCTCTCCTGGCCGCCAGCAGCCCACTGCGAGGTGGGCTCTAGACTCCTGAACTGGGCCCTCACAGCCCTCCTCTCTTTTGCTCTGATGCAGGTAGACCGTCCTGGCTCCTACCGTCATTCCTTTCCTCTTTACCTCCATCCTGGCTGCACATGCCATTCTCCATTCCCACCCATTTCATCTTACTCACACTGAAAATAATTCATTACCTCTTAACACCCATTCTGGATCCTCAACAGTGTGTTGGAAAACAGCCAGCTTGTGTTATGTATGCAATATGTAGCCAGCATTTAAAGAAATACAGATTTTTTTTTTTAAAAAGGCTGAAATGTAGAGTTACAAGTGAAAAACATAGAAAATAGAATCAGATTTTCTAGAAAATTATCCATTAGTTGTTTACACAGTAGTCAAACTAAATTAAGCCCATGGAAAACATTAAAGCCCCTGCAAAACATTGTAGCCAGTGTAGCGATCATCCCATCCATGCTTGGTGTCTTAGTGTGTAGTACATCATTCTAGCTCCCCATTAGCCCTGCATCTATCATTGTAATTTACATCTGAACTGTCTCTGCCTTGCTGTCATATGTAGGTCCAGGAGTAGCAGGTTACCTTACAGCAGGAACGGGCACCACAGTAATGCCCAACGTCCCACCCCCTGTGGACAATGACACTGGAGACCAAGGCTGAAGGACACGCACACTGAAAGGCTCAGGCACCCAGAGTGCAGCTTCACGGCCGCAGCTCAGAGAGGGACTGTTCAGCTCCCCACATGGAGGGGATGTTGAGAGGAAAACAAAACAATTGAAAAAAAGAAGAGTGAGAGAGCGGGTCGTCATTGACTGTCACCAAAACCTCTGCGACACCTCCTGCAGCGTCACTCTGCTTTGCCCCTTACAAATGACACTCAAGTCTTCAGAAATGCTTTGTTTTAATGGATGACCACATTTGTTTAGTTTCTGTTCTACTTTTCTTATTTCTTCTAATGACAGAGAAGAGTTTACTTTTTGTATGAATATATTTTTTACTCTTGATTTATTATTTTTTTCATTAGACAGCCATGGGAAGACTGAGGCTTCTTTTTTTGTTAATTTTTTTTTTCTCTTTGGCATATCCTGATTGGCCACCTTAACCTTACATCTCCTCTGAGGCCTCATTTGTGACGAATAAGTGCACAGGACCTATCCACCACTGAAATAAATATTTTGTTTACTTGTCTATATTAACGCATTCTCATGTGGAAAAGAAAAAAAAAATCACGGGACATAAAGAAATGGATGTGTATGATTTCTGTGGCCTGTTTCTCCAAAAGAAAATGCCACTTTAACCCCTTAGACGTCTGCTGACCTCTGGTCTGCTTTGATCAGGTCACCTTCAGTCCTCTTCTGTCAAAGATGACACAGAGCTCTCATAATATCCAGCCTTTTTTTCCTCTGATCTTATTCATACTTCATTCTGCTCTCTCTTTGAAGGCTACCCTTTTCTGCCTCATATTTTTTAAAGTAACTCTCCCCCAGAATGCAAAAAGCACTAGAATATTTATGAGTGAATAATAACCACCTGAAATGAGCTTCTGCTGACATGACGAATGACATTGACTCTGATTACCAATCTATGTGAAAGACTAGTGCAATTTGTGAAATGTTCAATGTAATATTACGTATATAAACTTTATATTGAATGTACATTGAAAAAAAAAAATCAGTCGACACTTGTACATAAAATTTTAAGAATAAAAGGGAACCCACAGTGTTGTTCTACTTGTCTTTCTTTTCTGTTCACAATAATTATAGATGTTAAGTCTGTTTGTTGAGAGAGAGATGAGAAGGGGGGAGGGGGTATATATCAAAATATTTCTCAATCCAATCACTTTTGCAGTAAAATGTTTTTATACAAGAATCAATTTCATATATTTGAGACCTCAGGCAATATGTTTGTTTGCTTATAAATGCGAATGTTTCAGAGTTATGTCATTTATATTATGTCAAACTATTTGAGAACCATAACTTTTAACGGATGTGGATATTGAATTTATAGTGGATTACACCAGCTACATAGATGCCATGAATTAGGGACTAGGTCTCACCTCACAAGCCTGACGGTAAGTCAAGGAAATTCATAAAAATGGTCAATACAGCTGCTATTGAGGGCAATGTGAATAGGGAAAATGTGCTAAACATGCTCAACGGTTTTAATATATTTATGTCAGAATTTTAAAAAAAAACAAAAAAAAAAACACGGTCCCTTCAGTGAGGTTTTCAAGTTTCTAATTTTTAAAACATTAATATATAGTTTATCATCCCCGATTCGCTTTCTAATGTCTGTAGCGGAAACTTTGAAACGTTCACTCCAGTCGGTCCGATTAGCAGGTAACGCCGGAAGTTGCGCCAAAGGCGCGAACACTATCAACAAAGATCACAATTTATATATCTAAACTATTACGATTAAATTGTTTTAAAATGTATGTCAGTTAGTTAAACCCATATCTCGGGACTGTTGGTGGGACTGTTGGTTTAAGATAACATGAGCAGTGGTCGTTTTTGGATGTTTTTATGTTGTAACTGAGCTACATGCAAGTTTGAACGTTAGCTCGCAAGTTTATGTTGCGCAGCTAACAAAGTCAGTGTAGGCTTTCTAAAAAGTGACAGCAGACTTCACAAACGTCAACTCGCTGACAAGCCGCACTAAGGTAAAACTAGCTTCATATGACTAATCGGAGTTCATACTGATTTCCGTCGGAATACACGGACTGTCTTTACTGGCGCTCTTGAGCTCTTCTATTAAAGGTAAGTAACTAGCAAGTTATTATTTTAAGCTAATAGCAGGCCAGTGTTGAATGTATGGCGGTGCTTAAGGTGCTTAGTCATAACTTAATCTTTGTAGGTGATCATTTTTTATTTAGATGCTACTGCTAAGGCCAGCCACAGCTATTATAATAAATGCCAGGTCTTGTCGCTGGTACAGGGTCACCATGTCTAAGGCAGAAAAAGAAGGCTTCATTGTGAAGTTTGTGGAAAGTGAAGGATCAAAAAAAGACTGTGCTGCCAAAGCTTATGAGGTAAGCTCTACTGCCTGGTCCAATCTTTCTTTTAGTGTTTACTGTCTCTTTGTTTTACAAATTGGTAATCATGTTTGTCTCCGGTTTATTCAGGCCATTTTGGAGCTGCAGTCTGAAAAATATTTGAACACCATCACAGAAGATGATGTTTTGCGCATGGATAAGAAGGACAAGTCTCTGTTTGTGTTCACCAGTTTTACATCTCCGGCCTTTCTTCACTGCAAGAAGGTTGAACTCTACACTTTTAAACAGTGAAATGTCACTCCTGAGGCTCTATCAGAGATTGACTCTTGTTTTTTTTTTATTTCTTGTGCAGCTTGGTTGCAGAATAGTGAGTCCACTGGTGGTGTTGTACTGCCTGCAGCAACAGCGTTGTGTCCCCAAAGCAGAGAAGCCTGTCTATAACATGGCCATGGCTGATGTCACCATTTGCTGCACCAGTATGGACAGAGCAATACGGGTAAGAAATCTGCTATATACATTTTAATAAAATATGAAGCACTGTGACATGTTTATATCCATACCTTCTCTCACACTCCAGGAAGAGCTGATGGATCTGGTGCAGCTCATGGGTGGATGGGCCTATTCGGATCTAAACGTATCTGTTACACACCTGATTGCAGAAGAGGTGGGCAGTAAAAAGTACCTGGTAGCAGCCAGCCTCAGTAAACCCATCCTGTTGCCTACATGGGTTAAAGCCTGCTGGAAGAAATCACAGGATAGGTATGTACTGTGATTTACATGGCTACATCTATTAAATACATGAAGACTTGTGTTTCCTGTTTGATACAAATTCACATTTTAAATCACTGTACATTTACAAAAACATGAATGGTGTGTCTGTACTCCTTTTCCAGTCTTTTCAGATATACAGACCTGCCCTTAGAGGACTATCTTTGCCCTGTGCTGCGTGGTTGTAGTGTTTGTGTGACTGGTCTGTCCAGCACAGAGCGCAAAGAAGTACAAAGACTTTGTGAGCAGCATGGGGCCAACTACACCGGTCAGCTCAAAATGAATGAGTGTACACACCTCATTGTTAATGAACCAACAGGTAAGTCACCAGTATTTTTAAAAAAAATTATGTAATGCCATCATTTGTGCGTCATTGATTGTCATTGATCGTACTTGGTTGTAGGTCAGAAGTACGAGTGTGCTCGGAAGTGGAATGTGTATTGCGTGTCTTTGCACTGGCTCTTTGACAGCATAGAGAATGGCTACTGTCAAGATGAGAGCAGGTACACTGTGGAGCGCAATGCTTCAAAAACCACTCGACCACACACTTCCACACCTACTGGTACCAGTAAGAAGGACGGTGAGTCGCATTTGATAAGATGATAAAGATTTACCACAGTAATTCAGAATTCTGTTTGTCTTTAATGATTGAAGAGTTGTGTTTTTCATCTCCAGAGGGTCCGTCACTGTTGGGCTTGAGCAACATTTCTGTGAACACTAGCAGGACAATAAACGACACGGCTCTCACCAATAACAGCACTGTCAGCCACCTGGAAGCTCCAGACCCCACAGAGAGTCTGGATCTTACCGTATGCCCTGCTGATGATTTATTGGATGGCTGTAAGGTAAGTAAATGGTCTGCAGTTTTCTTTTCATATAGATTTTATGTATTTCCTCTTTCAATTCTGTAGTAAGAGTTAGTTGAGTCTATAAATGATAAACTTGAGGCTTTCTGTCATTTTGTGTTAAATGTCACACAGCTGTATCTGTGTGGCCTGCCAGGGAATAAACTGGAGAAGTTACGGCGTCTTGTAAATGCTGCAGGAGGTCTGCGCTTCAACCAACCCAGTGAGGAGCTCTCTCATGTGGTCATGGGCGAGCTGGACCAGGACCTCAATAATTTTCTTTCCAAAGCAACTCACAGGTCTGAACTAAAGAGCTTTAATAACCTTCATGATATTTATATCCTCTGTATTAAGACAATAACTTGGAGATTCTAATGTTTCCTTTCATACCAAAATATGTTTGGTTGGACTGCATAATAATTTAGACTAAAGGCTATTACACACTGAGAAATGGAGATTATAGGTTTATCCAATTCTCAACAGAATTCAGCAACAGGGAGAATTGCGTGCTTTGATCCGGGAGTCAAAGCTGGATCGTGGCTGCTTTTTGCCCACTTTAATATCCTTTCTGCATGTATTAAAACAGCAGCTTTATAGTAAAAAAGTCCAGATGCAAATGGGTCCATCACCCACTGACTCATTATAATACAAAAAGTAAGTCAAAGTAACCATTGAAGAG